GATAATGAAATATAAAATATAAAAAAATAAATATAAAATATAAAATATAAAATATAAAATATAAAATATGAAATATTGAGCTTATATTAAATATAATTAGAAACTGTTGCAAATCATTTGAAGCAAATGAAAGATTTGAAATAAAAGAAATGAGCAACTGAAGGAAATGAATGCATGAAGAAAAATTCCATCGATGTAAAATATTTCAAGATTGGAAAAGAATATGACAACATCAGTTATATGCTTTTAGCATATGAGGTATAGCAACAGTTAAATGATTATAGCTTGTAAGATATGGAATCAGTTGTTTGATTATAGCATAACTGACTCCATAGTTAAATGATGAGGCTATATCTATAATAATCCAGTCGATTTTGATTGAGAAGACTTTGAGCTACGAGCAGCTGCTGCGCGCGTACAAAACGATAACCAGACAGGCAGATATGTCTCAAAACTGATCAAGAATATGCAATATAAAATATAAGTCCGTGACGAAATGTACAAAAAACTCCATGATTGGCATATGGACTATCTGCAGCGTGAAGTTGGAAACTTTCGCACATATAATATATAGAGTATCTATCTAGCATTTCGAGCGAACTTATATTGATACGCCACTGTCGCATATCAGAGCATATTTAGCGCTCCATAAATGGCATATGCGATTTGTGTGCGTGGTGCATAAACCACATAGTTGCATGCATACAAATGCATGGCTCGAAGCTCGCCAAGTGTGGGCCAAGCACGTAGCACGGCTAAGGCCCGCTGATCGGCGCTTAGGCCAGGTTGGCAGCTGCAACCGAGTGATAAGCGGCCAACAGCAGCTTGACAATAGCTGTACGTCTATTTCCGCACGCTCCCAGCGCTCGAGCCTAATCAATTAAGAGCTGCCAGAGTAATTGCAGCATGTTTATCAGGCAGCGAGCAGTGGAGACATTGGTGAAGCATCTCAATCATTTCAATTGAACAATTATGTTGTGAGGCAGAGTTGCACTCAATTAAACTGAAACCTTTATCTCAATTGTGATTAGCAGCGGAGAACGCCCCCTCACCCCCTCGTCTGCCTCTCATGCCGTCGCGCTTCATTGAACTGCACAGCGCATCAAGAGGCAAACAAATGAAATAATTCACATCATGTCCGCTGGACAGTCGGACGGATTCTTTTGCTGCTCAGCTGAGCGAAGTGGCAGAAGCAGCTCAGCCAAAAGAAAGCACAAATCACAACTGCCTTGTAAAGAGGCAGTTTATGCAAATCATCCACAAATTGCCCGCCCCCCGCATGCCCACTTGACTTGCTTGGGTGGGGCAAAGGCTGTGCAGCAGCCAAGTATTAATAATTCTGGGCAAAGTCTCTAATGAGCGCAAATGTTTGTCAAAATGTTGACAAGTTAATTGAGCAGAAAATTT